ATGAAATCAACTCATCATCTTTTAAGAAATACCAGAATGATTCTGTAAATGCTAAATAGAATGGAGACATTTGCCTAATTTAAAACTAGGCAATCGGCCACTAACAACATGTAGGTGATTTATAATTTCAAATCAATTTAAAGTACATAAGTAAATGGTGAGACTGAGGATTTCTGTGGCTGACTCTGCTGTTGGGTGGTAACACACTGAACACACTGTGCTTACATTAAGTGTCTCCACCATGTTGTTCTCAAATACCCTGTCTTTCAAGTGAATGCTATAGGGGCATCAGTAGGTTATGATACTGGAGAAGCTAATCCTGTGGATGCCTGCTCTGCCCACATGCCTATCAAAGCAAGGGGCCCTGGTGATTCCTTCCTCCTAACAAGTGACTTTTCAGCTCTTTATTTATTTTTGCAGAGAGAGTTGGAGGGGGGAGGGGGAGGACTCAATAGATACAGAGTAGGGAGCAGAACAGGCGGATCTACTGAAATACACTGCTGAGGGGAGCAGTGGGGGAGACAGGAGAGGTCTGCTGGCCATATGTGGGTCAGGTACCTGACTGGGGATTAAACTCAGACTGAAGTGGTGATTGCACTGAAACTTAACCCCCGGTCAACCAGGGAGGCTGGAATTCTCAGCTTTTGACCCCAACTTCTTCAGTCACAGTTGAGTGACCCAAAATGAGTCAGGAGTATTCAATGACTGGCCTACGAGTTTGCCTGGCAAGAAAGTGCTTTTCTTTAAGGGTGTGCTAAATCTTTCATGTTTCCTCTCATAAATTTCAAGTGTAGATATGCCAAGAGTCAGGCAAGTAGAACCTTAGCGGAAATGCTTTCAGAAAGGAGAGAATGTGTTAAATCATCATGAAACGTTACAAATCATAAATAAGCAGAAACAAAAGTAAGCATGCACCATGAAGTTAGGAGACTCTGGAAGAAAGGGAGGGCTGGTAGCTGGTAGCAGCAGATGGATTGTGGAGACTCCAATGGCAGAGCATATTCTAGATAATCCAGTTCCAGGAACTATATTGAATCCTTCCACTTTCTGAATATGAGGCTCAACTAAATATTTCCATGATGTCTGTTCTGTCTGTGACACACGTATTCCCATAGTAACTGCTTCCCACTCCACATAAGTCGAAGTCTCTTTGATTGTCAAAGAGCCCGACTCCTGAGTGTGTGCCTGTGGTTTGCATAAATTTGTTGTGCTGCTGTTGTCTGTGATGTGGTCTATGTGGCTTTCTTTCTCATCTTTCTTCCTCTCTTAAGGCTGGTCCCCATTGTTTCTGTCCTGCATTCTCTACAGTAGATACTCATGAACCAGAACAAAGTGGTCATGGTAAGCTGAAAGCTAAGCCAGACTTTCCAGCCACCAAGACTGTTCTAGATATCACCTTGCATACTATTTGAATTTGTGATCAGTTTATCTTTGTAAAGGATGGCTGAGGATGTGACAGGTTAGTTCCGATATTTGGCTAAGCCAAATTTAAAAGAGATTTTCTTTTTTCTTTGTATTGTTGAGGAGTTAGTGCTTAACTCCTTAGCATTAATTTCCTAGAGTCTTCCTTTCCCCATAAAAAGACAGAGAAGTTGTGGCATTAACAATGACATTTTAGAGTTAATACATATCTAGTTTAGCTCTTTCCAGAAGCAAGCATAAAACTTTTGAACTTCTTTTTTTTTTCATTTGTCCACTCTTTAAAAAAAAAAAAAAAGATTTATTTATGTATATAAGAATTGGAGTACAGGCCAGAGGTACAGCAGGTGAGAGGATTCACCAGAGACAGAGTTGGGGGTAGAACAGGCAGATTGAAATACACTGCTGAGTAGAGTGGGTGAGACAGGAAAGGTCTGCTGTACCATGTGGGTCAGCTCCTTGGCTGGGGATCAAACTTGTGCTGTGGATAGCTTCCTAGTGCTGACTAGGGAGGCTCCTATTTGTTCACACTCTTATACTATGTGATGTTAGACACAGCTCCCTGAGAATCAGATTTGATCTAATCAAAGCAAATACTCTATACTTTCAATTGCGTGGAAGTAACTTTTAAATATCCTTAATTACTTCTTTTTTTAGCATTAGAATCTCCCAGAGTTTTAGTAGGACATATGGCTGCACAGCTTGTGGATATGTTTCCCATCCTCCCATGTGGCTGTGTGTGGCCATGTGTGGCCATGTGACTCAGTTTACTCCATTAGAATGTGAATAGAGTGAGGCTTACAGCTTCTATGGCAATTCTTTAAATGGAAATTGTTTGTGCTCCATTTTTCTCTTTGTTTAACTTTCAGCTGGGATGTCGATTAACCAGTTCTACTCATGCAGTCAAGGCAATATGTTAGGAAAAGGGCAGATGGAAGTGAAGTCTGCAGCTCATCTATGCACTGGAGTGTCTCAGATGACCTGACAGAGCAATAAATATCTCCTCCTCGTATGAGTTACTCTGTTTTTTAGTTTCTCTGTTTCAGAGCCTTAACTTGGACTGCAACCCTTGCACAGGGCGGACATCTATAAGTGCTTCCTGGGCATCAGGAGCCACACTAAGTGTTGGGCAGGTATCACATAATTTTCTAGCAACCATCCTGAATTGGGCGCTTCTCGCCCATTTTACAGATAAGAGGCTTGGAGAACCGAGGTGACTTATTCAAGATCACATGGCTGAAGTGGCAGAAGGGACTTGAATTTAGTTCCTAAGTACTTCCAAGCACACATTCTCAAAGACTGTGTTTGTGTTTCTTGATAAGACAGTTTGCTTTTTTTCTAGAGACTATTCAAAGTATTTTTCATTGCTGCTTTAAGGGTTTCAGTCTGTCGTGGGCTCTAGGCCTGAACTTATTTGCTTGGTTTGGTGGCAATTGATTGCTCATTTTCTTGTTCTTTGGTTTTGAATAGATTCATCTTGTCTTATTTGTTAGATTGTAAATTCCTCAGGAGATGGTGCTACTGACACAAACGCTGAGTAAATGACACTATTATAGCCAAAGGGATAGGAGCTGCCTGGTCTTCAAAATAACTCAATATTCCAATGTTCACTTACATGTTTTTCTCATGGGCCTGTAAGTTCTGTTGCTAATTAAATAATCCTGGTGAACACCTCTACACATTTTAAGTATATTTTCAAGGTAGTAGCATATGTGTATACAGGAAATATCTGAAAAGATTATTTTGATTAAGGAATGATTCCCATTCTATTCGTCATTCTACTTTATTCAAGTGTTAGATTCATGGTTATTCTGCAATGTATGACTTAGTCATGAATTTGCTGCAAAAGAAAAGAAAAGCCAACGTAATAGTGACTTAAATGAGAGATTATTTTTTCTAACACAGAAGAGGCTTGAACTAAGACAGCTGAGGACTAGTATGGTGGTTGGGTCTTGGCAACTTTCTTTTTTTCTCTCATTTTAAAAGTATTCTTCTGGTCAGTGGGTGCTCCCACAGTGACAGTCATTGTCAGAGCTGGCACTGTGAGGGCATGGAGTGTGTAGAGCAGGGAGGACTTTTATCCGACAGCTTCTCAAACTTTTCCATTTTCAGTTAACATACTTCCACTTTTACCTCATTGATTAGAATTTAACTATAACTTCCAAAGTCCACGTTTTATCTTGTTTTTAAATAAGAAAAAAGGGGAAGAATCAATTTTGGGTATATGGCCTTGTTTTCTAATTAGAAAATTCTATCAGTCTAGATCAGGATCAGCAACCTATGCCTATGAACCAACGCTGGACTGAGTTGGTATTTTGTTGAAGAAAAGTTTGGAATAAAGTCATTTATGTGCTATCTATGATTCATTCCCGGCTCTAACAGTAGAGTTGCATCGTTGTTACAGAGATTTTATAACTCATGCACCTGAAATATTTGCTAGCTTGTCTTCTATAGAAAACGTTTGCCAGAGGCAGATTCTGATGAATGAATGTTTTCACTCCTTGATGTGCTATTATAGGAGAAGGTTGAATTTACTATGGGTTCAGTAATCTATATAATTATTTTTCTTCAGCCCTAATGAGATTAGGTTTAATAGGAATATATTTGACTGCAAGTAACATAAAACCTGGCTAATGGATTACACAAAATCAGGATTTTCTCGCTCCTAAAATGAGTGCAAGTGGATATGGTGATGGCACATGGGTGAATAGGTGGTGGGAAGCCCACAGGGATTACAACTGAGATGGAAAAAGGCACAAAATGATGTAAAAATAAGCTATTATATTATTAAAAATAAAAATTAAAAAAAAAAGAAGTGCAAAATAAGCCAGAAAGAAAAAGAAAAATACCAGATGGTTTCACTCATAGCAGGAGCATAAAGGATCATGGAGGGAAAAAAAATAATAATGAACAACTATATACCAGAGACATTTTACTGGGATGAAGTGGGGAAAGGGAGCAAAAATGGGGGGAAGTGCACTGGAATGTGGTGATGGCACAAGGGTGATTTGGTGATGGGAAGATTACAACTGAGATGGAATAGAGACATAATGATGTAAAAATAAAACTATTATATTAAAAATAAAAAAATTAAAAAAAGAAGTGAAGTCCACCACTGGTACAGATGCTCAGTGATGCCTAAGTTCCTCTTGCCTCCACTATTACGCCCAGAATGTTAGCTTTCATCTACATGCTGTCACTTGATGGCAGCAGCACCTGAATACTTTTTGCCTGCATCCCACAAAGGAAGAAGACAGAGCTGCAAAAGCCCAACAGAGACACAAATGCCTCCCTTTCCAAAAAACTTTCCTGGAGGTCCTCATTGATCAGGACTGTGTTTCATGACGATACTAGCAGGAGAGGATTGTGGGATGGTGAGAATATAACTTAGGAATATAATCAGGGCAAATAAGTGGAGATTGTCTTAATAAAGTGGGAGACAATAGTTGTCAGTGCTATAGAAGGCTCTGCACAGGGCTGTTCTAGGGTGTCCTGATAGTCTCACCTTTCCTCCCACCTTTCCTACCTCCTCTCTCCTTGTTACTGAAATTAATGTTGTCCATTTCAACTCTTTTGGCTAGGTGAGCAGGCTGGGAACGAGCCTGAAGAGGCAAAGCTGCAGAACGCCAGTAAACAGATTGTGCAGAATGCCATCCTGCAAGCCGTGCGGCAGGTCTCCCGGGAGAGACGACAGAGGAAAGACAAAACCGGAGACCACAGGGGCAGCTTCCAGCTGGGCGTGGGGGAGTTAACCAAGAAGCATGAAAAGAAGTAACACAGTGGACTTGGCTCTTGTTTGCTTGGTTTCCAGCCTTCCTCTTAGTATAGGATGTGTTGCCAATAAAGAAAACCAAAGTGTCATTGGCACATAGCAGTAAAATGAATTCGCACTAACCCTCGGCTGAGAAGCACTATTTTGAAAAAGTGCATTAGATGATTCTGTTTGTATTAATGCGGTGCCTCTGAAATCTAGTGGGGCTACACCAGTCACTGTCACCGCAAATGTAGTTTTGTAGCATAGTTTATTTTTAAAGTTTCTTTTTGAAAAGTTCTGTCTTATTTATTTTCTTTTGCCTTTATGCATTCTTTTTTGTGGATTTTTTTTTTTTTTTTGCTGAACTACTGAGTACACTATTATAGTCTTTATAATACTTTTGAAATGCAAAGGAGTGGAGTTTCAGTCACTTTCAAATATGGAATTGAAGCCTTTCATCAAGTGGGTGCAGGTCAAAAATCATATTAAGCAAAGGCAAATTCTAAGACCAAGTCCCTCAGGATCTCACTGAGGCTTAGACTTATGTAACTTTTTTAAGGAGGAGTTTAGTTTTTCAAGAACTCAGTCTTTTCATCTCAATTCTCTGAATTGTTCAATAGTTCAATAGTAGTTAGACCATGTGCAGAAATTCTTTGGAGATATTATGTATTTTTTTCCCATCTCAAGACTAAAATAGGACAAGTCCATCTATATATGAGTCTCCAATGACTCCGTTCTTCAGCAGACCAATGAAGAGCAACTAGGTTTATAGAACCCATCGTGCATACAGTAGGGTCTGATTTGGGGTGCAGCATCCTTGAAAGGAGCGCTAGGTCTTAGGCAAACACTGCACTGGCATCAGACTATGCATTTGCACTACTATCTTGCCAATAGAAAGTTTGCTATACACAAATTAGAATTCCCAAATTATGATTGCTTTTATGATATTATGAAAATCATATCAGGAATACTAGCACTTAAAATGGCAGCGCTAATGCATGAAAATACAGTGGGAACAATGAAATGAAAGTGTTGCTAGTTCAGTCACAGAGGTGTGTGTGTGTGTGTGTTTGTGTGTGTGTGTGTGAACTATCTCTATTGGGGCAGTATCACTTCTGCTCCTCTCTCACCTGGATAATCAGCATCTTTCTGGAATTCTTAAAGAGCCCCATTTCTTGGGCTTCACACAGGTATTGGGTTAGTGCTACGTAGGACAGAGGAAGAATTTGATCTTTGTTAAAAACTTTTAGTTTCAGAATGGCAATGTCTATATTTGATAACTTTTTAAAAATCAAAGTATCAGCATCTAGTGTGACAGATATGGAGATGTATGTACTCCTAAAATTCCAGTGTTATACTTTCCAAAATGAATATTATTGATAACATTAATAAAATGAATGAATGAAATGGATGAATGAAAACAATGTCTTCCCAGTTTTGTTAGATTATCTTACATGCTATACAGTGGAATAAATTCACAGGGAGAATGACTGCAGAAGGGAGCTACACTAGATAAATAAGGCTTATTCAGAAATTCTTTTTAGCAGAGATCATAACAATGACAAATGAGTTTAAATTAACCTGAAGTTATATAGTTGATGTGATATCATTGCATAACATAGATAATTGGAATGAAGGTATTAAGGGAAATTATTTTACTCAGTATCCACAAACAAAATAAATGCAATGCTTGTATGTCAGTGATCTGGCCCTGAGTCTAAAATGTCTGAAGACAACCAGTCTTGGATCTCACTGTCAAATGGCAGAAACACACATACATGCTATCTTGTCTACCTAGTATGTCTATGATTATATTTCGAGGCTCTTTGGAAACATCTGTTTAACCATGGTATCTAAATGTTATTTATAAATAAAATATCCAGCTTTGAAATACATTACCATTTAAGTGAACTTTTCTATACCCTACTGTTTGACTCATTTTATTATTTTGAAGATTTATTTATTTATGCATATAAGAACTGGGGTGTAGGCTAGAGGTGGGGAGTGGGGGTGAGATAATTCACCAGAGATAGAGTGGGGAGCAGAACAGACAGATCTAATGAATTACACTGCTGAAGGGAGTAGCGGGCAAGACAGGAGAGGTCTTCTGCACTGTGTGGGTAGCTCCTGGTGAGACTTTCACCCTTGAAACACCATGGAGGCCTTGTTTGACACATTTTATATGTGGTCTTTTCATATATATGGCATCACAAAGCATATTTTCCAAATTCCTAAGGTATAATAACTCGAGAAAGGAATTCTTAAGGGCCTTTATTGTAACTAAAGAGAGTCATATGATGATGATTCTTGTGCCTTAAATGGAAAAGGATGTATGATAAGAATGATCTCAGAAAGTAAAAGCAAGTGAATCTGAAAAGTTGAGTCTTTCATGATCTTTCTGAGATGGGAAGTCTGCAGCAAGTAACAGGCATGGATAAGTTCTTAGGATTAAAGAAAATGAGGCAGCACTTGTACTCAAGAGTTAGGTGTCATAGTTTAGAATCCCAAGAAAGCCCAGCCATAAAAATAAATGTATCTGCTAAACATTTATATCATTCTTAGTATGGGATTAAGAAGTTTATTTGGCATAAGTGGGCTTCCACCTCGTTAGAATATTCCTTAGTTTTGTGTTTTAGGAATTGTGGGAACACTTTTTTTTAAGATTATTTATTTATGCATACAGAACTGAGGTACAGGCTAGAGGTGCAGGGGTGGTGAGAGGATACACCAGAGACAGAGCGGAGAGCAGAACTGGCAGCAGGCAGGTCAGAAGAAGTCTGCCGCACCACGTGGATCACTTTGGGGTGGGGATCGCTAAAGTTTTTAGCTTCTTAGTGCTGTGCTTTACCGCA